TATTTATTTATTTTTTAAACTTGTATGTTACTCTCTAGTAATACCTCTAATCTTCGGCACTTAAAAACCCTACTTGTGTTACGAGTGTCATAAAACTTTTATTAGAAGTAAAAAAAAAACAACCAACATCAAAAGTCTCAGATGTGAAAGCGAAGATTAAGTACTAGAAGTACCACAGTCACACGAGACCAGTATATTATTGTCTGCAAATCTGATTGTACCATGTAATGATGACTGAGCCTTGCATTGCAGAATGAATCGTGTGTGGGATTATGTCGAATGAAGAAAATGAGAAAAAGGAAAAGGGTAGATAAAGAGGGGCGGTGAATTATTTAGTCACAAGAGTGTCGAACTCGTTTCCTAGCCTTGTTCAGACATTGAAAGTGGGTGGTTGGCGGGTGCTGTGGTGTGGTTTGCTTCTTCTTTCCTATCAAACATCTATCGTCCTTATCTCCCCTCCTTCTTTTTTATGTCTGTTACTCTCTTGTAACACCTCTAATCCTCTGGCGCTCATAAAACCTCTACTAAAACAAAACAAAAAAGACACTGAAATTGAAAAGTTCAGGAAAAGGTAAAAAGTAACATCGATTTCATGATTTTTGGTAAGAGGTATAACTCGGGGTAAACTCTTGATAGTTTTTAAAGTTTTCGTGGTTATGTCCCTTGCTTGTTCATTCAAACCCGTCGTCCTAAAAAAAATTACGAGAGGGTTACTCAAAACTCGTGCCACATCCCTGACAGCACCTCACGCTGGTTTTGCTGATGCTCGTTGAATAACTGACGTGCTGCCGGGGGGAGTAGGGAGGGGAGGGGGAGTGACGGGCGGAAGATGGTGGGACGAGATGGAAAAAGAGAAGTAGGTCACTGTCACAAGAAGTGGGTTATTTTCTCATAGCCCCACATTCTCTGGCGGGCCGTGTGTGTTTGTGGGTCTCGCCTGGTGTGTGTTGGTCGGGTCAGAGGGGGAACGAGAGAGGCAAGACGTCGAGAGGCGGGCGGGGACCTCTTGGGTCTAGTGTTACTCTTCTCAGAGCTTGCGTCAATGGATGTCGCAACACACATAAAGGTTTGCTGCTGCCACTGTGATTCTGGACTTAATGAAGAAGATATCTAGCTTTTTCATTTTGAAAAATTCTGCGTTGTGGAAATGAAATTCTGTATTATTTTCATTTACTTTAGAAAAGTTTCGTTGTGAATTCCTGATCGGATACTTTTATCGTCATTCGGTATGATGGTCCTTGAGTTTTCCGTGCGTGTGCCGGTGTACGTGAAATTCTAGATTCTGAGTGATATTTGCTTGTGTGTCTAAAAGTGCAGTGTTCAGAAGATCTAGGCAATGGACGTTGTGTTTCGAAACACCATTGTTTCTGCTGTTACTATTATTGTTTTGATTTGTAATTAATTCCCCCGCCCCATAAC